AAGAATATTCTAGTTGGTTTGATGGTTGGAACGGTTACTGCACATACTCATTAGCCTAGCTAGCTAGACTGAACGTTTGAATTGGGGTTGGAGGTTGACAATCCTATTGGAAAAGTGAAGACGTGCGATGATGTTGGTGTTTTGTGTGTGGGCGGCCGTTTGGGTGAGGACAGGATGGTGAAGAGCCTCAGACTAGACAAAACTCACCTGTGAACCCTTTTGGTAAATCGATTTGGTAATTCTTAGTGAATAAGTTGGTTGCCTCATCTGATGGTTTGTTAGTTGGACGACTTTTTGAACGACGACCGCTCCTCCAACCTGAGCGTCTCCTGAAAGAGCGCCACACCTACGATTGGTTTTGATGTGTCAAAATTAGAAATTTAGCTGTTTATTAGCTTGATAGCTGTCAGCTTTTTGTTACAGATTGTTTGCAACTGATTTGGTTGAACTAAATTACCTGGGATGGTCACACTGGGGCGATTACGTACGTTGATGTTATGACTCGTTTAGTAAGTTGACTGGGCAGAGCATAAACTGTTAGCTTGTCAGATGTTGGCATTAGCGCTTTGGACGACTTGGGTCACACGAGCAGCGGCTTAGTTTGTGTGGTTGTCTATATGATGAAAACTGCGTCACAGCTGGAAACAGCAGGGTGATGCAGGGGTTACAAAACAGTGAAAAGGACAAACAGGCTGAAATGGCTGTAGGAGATGACGATGGAAAAAAGAAGAATAGGGAAGAGATGGAGAATAGAAACCAAATTTTTCCTCACCCGGAGAGGCCGTTTTTTTATTTTTAACTTACCAGGTCGTACACAGTGGAGTCGGAAAATCAACAGAAGGAATATTCCACACCTCTTATTTTTCTGCTTCGCCCCCTCTCGTCTCTACCACCCTTGATCTTCCATCTTCCAAAGTATGGAAAGAACGGTTAGGAAACAGAAGATGTGATTATAAGGAGGAATTAATCCTGAGGTTCACATTGGCTTTAAAGATTGTTTTTTGTGGGCAGACTGTCAGAAAGATGGGTGGAGACCTTTATCGCAGTCCGTATTCAGGTTTTTAAATGGAGTTGGACCATGAGCTGTCGTGCGGAAATACACATACACCGTATCCTGCATGCTGCAAATACTCACCAGGAGAACCCAGTGTGGAATCAATCCGCCGCTGAAAAATAGTTCCGCAGTAAATGTTCTTCATGTTTTCTTCCTGTTTGAGTAACATTTGCTATAAAATTACAGTGAAAACCTACCAAGCTCTTTCTAAATTGAAAAACAGATATTTTTATTGAGTCATCTGTTTCAGGATGTGTGCTCAGTAGAAGCATGTGGGCACATTGAGCTGATGAAACAAGACAGAAGTAGAGTTTCATGATGATTGGTGGCTATAAACTTAAACTTGACCCAACATTGTTAGGTTGGTTCTTTTTATGGGATTTTCTTAACACAATGAGATACGAATTTGATAATTGATAAAAATCCTGTATTCTGTTAATTTCAGGATTTTTATGTTTTCTCCAGTGGTTTTTGCAAATTTCAACAAGTTTTGGGTTTATTAAACCTCAAAGAAGCCTAAAAGAAAAAAAAAAGGGAGAAAAAAAGAGCTAAAAAAAAAGATGCATCAAAAAATACAGTTATTGCTATGAGAGAAACAAGATGTTTCCCTTCATGAGCGTTCGCCAAGGAGGTTTTGTTTTTCACCTTGCATCTCTTGTTTGTTTGTTTGTTTGTTTTTTGTTTGTTTTTGTTTGTCAGCAGGATTATGTAAAGAATTCTGTGACATGGTCCAAAAGAAGACCCCAGTTAGATTTTGGTGCAGCATCCGTTTTAAAGCTCCATGTTTCTTCTTCTTCTGGTTTTAGATTGAGTGTTGAATCCATCAGAAGATATAAAAACCATCTCAGTGTAGTTTTTACATCTCCTCTCTCAGGCTTCTCTCTGCAGCTCTAGTAACAACAGGTCAGTGAGCCAATCAGAAGAGAGGAGGCTCTGAGCCTCTCTTCTGATTGGCTGACTGTTTTCTGAGTGATTCAATAAAAATAAAGCAGATTTCAGGTTAAAAACACTGAGAGAAACCAAATCCTGCAAGGTTTGGTATGGTGGGTCAGCGTGGGCGGGGCTTGGTGGACTGCTTGGTTGTGACATCACAAAGTTCCAGAAGTCCTGACGGCTGGTTTTAAGGCTCAGTTCTGAATACAGGCTGTGTGCATTTCTCTGTGGACTGAGGTCTTTGATACTTTCACAGTATTAATATAGAAGCTAGAGCTGATCTATAATCACACTACACATGGACACAGACCTTTACACTGGAGGAGCTTTAAAGGGGCAGATCCAGGAACTTTTTTTATCACTTTCCTAACATTGCAAGACGTAGTATTTCATTTCATTTTCATCAGTTTCTCAGAAATAATGTTTTAAATCTTATGTTAAAAAACGAGGACATATTAATGGGTGTTGAGATCTATAATTTGTTGTACCTTGGCGGAGGTTTGTTCTCCACTTGTATGACTCAATTTTCTGAAAATGCTTGCACCAGATTTTTTCTTGCTGACTTCTCACTAATGTCGCTGAAGTGCATGAAAGTTGCAGTAACCGTTTGCACGTGAAGGGGAGCTGCTGAGCATCCTTCCTTCCAGAAGAAAAAGACCCAGTGTTACATACAAACCGTCGGCACTTTCTACATGTGGAGGAGAAATTATTCATGGGCTTCTCTGGTGTCGCACTATTACATCAGCTTCATTACATCCCATATGTTTACACTCACACTAATGATCTTCAACACACCAAGATAACACACTTAAATCTTTGTGTGGATCATTTACACACATTCACTAACTTTTTATACACTAAACTATTGATCGATTAATGGAACCAGAGTGATCAATAATGAAAGTAAAACATCAGTTGCAGCCTGATTTTGTGTGTCAAAAGGTCAACAGAGAAAAACGTCTGTAAAGTGGATGAATGTTATCCCTCAGGTGAAGCTGTGGCTGTGGTATTATAATCAATTAGACCTGATCAGGTTCATGTCAGCGCCCTTTAAGGCTTGGACTCATTCACCGCGCTCAGGCCTATAAGGGATTATGGGTAAAACATGCAGAGGAGCTTCGCTGTAGATTAAGTGTGATTCATGTTGTTGGAATAGACAATAAAAGAGACTCTTCACAGCACAGCTGAGCGCTTCATTTTCCTCTTTGGAAAAAGACGAGGTGGAAACACACACACACAAGTCAGTGTGTGTGTGTGTGTGTGTGTGTGCATGTGACAGACATGAACAGAAAAACAGTGTCATAGTTTTCCCTGCCCTCGTCCTGGCGGGGCTTGAGGAAGACTCGGAAAAATCTGATCTGAAAACAGCCGCCCTCACTGTGTGTGTGTGTGTGTGTGTTGGTGTGTGTGTGTGTGTCTGTGTGTGTGTGTGTGTGTGTGTGTGTGCCACATGTGATTTCCACTTTGTCTTCACCATGTTTTTGATGTTTTCCATCCATTATGTTGTTGACGTGTGTGTAGATGTTTGTGTGTATGTGTGGTGTGTGTTTCCGTTCTCTGCCACATTTCAGACCATGTTGAAGGAATTTTCCTGCTCCTCTCTTTCTCTCTCTCTCTCTTTTCTCTCTCTCTCTCTCTCTCTCTCCTCCCCTGGTCTCCCCCTTTTATTCTCTCACCCCTCTGTAACTCTTGGCATCTTTATTCCTCTCTCTCTCTCCCTCTCTCTTTCTCTCCCCTCTGTCCAACCTGTTGCTCTCACTCTTCGTTCTCTCTCCCTGTTTCTCCCCCCTTCCTCCTCCCTTAGTCTTCCATTCTCTCTCACGCCCTCTGCTCCCCCTTCCTTCTTTTTCCTCCTCCCCTCTCTCCCCATTTGTCTTCCTCTCTTTCTCTCTTTCCTCCCCTTCTCCCTCTTTCTTTCCACTCTCCTTCTTTTCCCATCACTTCTTCCTTAGAAAATATTTAGAGTGTTTGTGTGATTGTAAAAAGGAAGGAGATTGCTGGAGTTGGGGGGGGGTGGGGGGTGGGGGGGTTGCTTCACACCTCCGGTGACCACTTCCTTTCACCACATCCTGTTTATTTCCTGTTGCGCAATAGAACCGGACTCCCTCAAAAAATGCAAACACACACACACCACACCACACACACACCACACACAACACACACACACACCACACGCACCACACCACACACACACACACACACACACACACACACACACAGATGAACAGCTTGTTGTTGAAGCGACATGATGTTTCCACTGAGTGAAATATTTGAACATGTGTTTTTATCAAAGGAAAAGTGTCATCGCGTCTCAGAGAACACGACCTGAAAATACTAAAAATGTATTTTACTGGAATCCAGGGTAGAAATATTCAGGACGTGTGATGGCCTCTTGTTTGAATCATGGAGCTTTTTTATGCTCATAAGTTAATGAAAAATATTAATCTCTATGGACTTTATCGAGAAGAGAGGAGGCTCTGATCCTCTCTTCTGATTGGCCGACTGTTTTCTGAGTGATCCAATAAAAATATAGCAGATTTCAGGTAAAAACACTGAGAGAAACCAAATCCTGCAAGGTTTGGATGGTGGGTCCAGGTGGGCGGGGCTTGGTGACTGCTTTGTTGTGACATCACAAAGTTCCAGAAGTCCTGACGGCTGGTTTTAAGGCTCAGTTTCTGAATACAGGCTGTGTGCATTTCTCTGTGGACTGAGGCTTTGATACTTTCACAGTATTAATATAGAAGCTAGAGCTGATCTATAATCACACTACACATGGACACAGACCTTTACACTGGAGGAGCTTTAACTTGTGATTATATGTTTAATTCTTTATGTAAAATCAATGTACACAGTAGAACAAGTTGGAAATACTTAAGTAAAGTACAAATATCTCATAATTGTTCTTAATTAAATGAGTTCCTGTTACTTTCCACCTGTTGTGTTTGTGTGTTAAATAAATTCATGAACACACACTCTCACGCTCATGAACGTTGTCTCGTGTGTTTCCTGACAGGACGGTCCCGTGAGCGCACTCTCTGTCGGGACTCCCGCTGAAATCAAACTGACCGTGTGCAGACCATCAGGTAGGTCCCCCCCCCCCCCCCCCCCCCCATCCCCACCCCCCCCCCCAACCCCACACCCACANACACAGATACAGTACACCAGCAGAGAGACAGGATGATCTATTTCTAAAGGGATCAATTTTCCAAGTGCATGCATGTACACACACACTGATGTACAAATGGACACACAGGCACACACACACACACACACACACACACACACACACACACACACACACACACACCACTCCTTTCAGGTTTTTACCAGACAGTGTTTGAAAGCGCTACATGAGTTGTGTAACATGTTGTTGTGAGTGTGTGTGTGTGAGTGTGTGAGTGTGTGTGTGTGAGTGTGTGTGTGTGAGTGTGTGTGTGTGAGTGTGTGTGTGTGTGTGTGTGTGTGTGTGTGTGAGTGTGTGTGTGTGTGTGTGTGAGTGTGATGAAGTGTGTGAGGTTCATAAACAGCAGAGCTGGAATGTTCCTAAACATCCACTTATCAAACACGTGAGCTCCACGTCTCAGTCTGACTCGGGGCTGCGTCCTTCACCTCTGGACGCCCTCCACTAAACTTCAGAGCCGTTTCCACTCGGGACGTTTAAAACGAAACATCAGTCTAATTCACAGAAATGTTCCTCCATCGAACACTTCTACATGTTCTGTAGTGAAATATGGAGATTTGAGCTGGAGACAGAGATCAGAGGGACAGTGGGGGGGGGGGGGTTCCCCAGCTTTCAGCTTTAAATTGTTTGTTTTCTTCATATCAATCAGATGAAGTGATGAATAGAAAGATTTTGTGAGAGAACAGAAGCTTTAAAGTAAAATCATGATCTGAGCATTTAAATTCAAATTTCACTTTCAAGTCTAAACTCAAGGCCCACTTACTGGGTTTTAATGAGCTCACATGAAGTTTTGACCTGCTGAGATGTGGTTGAAAGCTCAGGAAAATGTTGTCGAACTGGTTTGACTGGTGCCATTTAGTACACGGTGCAGCAGGATGTGTGGATCCTCTCCTGTAGGAACAGTTTGTGGTGGTGTTTATGGGATGTTTCCTTTGTTATGGGGCTGTTCCAGCTCGTGTCTGAACTGATTTACTTCATGTTGCTACAGATCGCACTCCAGTTTATGTCCCGTTGTAGAGGTGGTTGTACTGGTTTCACTGGTATTTGAGATATTTATTAACAGTTGGCGTGTGAGCGGATTTCATTTGGCTTCTTCACCGTCTCTTGTCACCACAGCTCGTGTTATTACACGTCCCGTACCTGGTTATACTGGTTATACTGGTTTACTGTCGTTTATTACCAGTTGGTGTTTGAACTGGTTTCTGGAGCATCCATGACGCAGCGCAGAGAATCCCTTCAATCTAAACTGCTGCAGCAGAGGACAGGATTTCAATGTGACTGCAAACTGTAATGGAACGAGAAGTCAGCTGCGCACGCACGCACGCATGCACACATGCACGCACGCACGCGCACGCACGCATGCACACACGTATGCACACACATTCCTTGGTGCTAAATTACCATCAGTTGAAGCAGTACCAATGATTTTGTTTTGATACAGACACTGTGGTTGTTGGACAAAAACGTATGTTAGAAAGCTGTAAAAGAATATGTTACCTGCCCTAACAGGCTCACACACACACACACACACACACACACACACACACACACACACACACACACACACAGTAATATAAACATTACTCAGGGACAGTACGAGTGGTACGAGCCAAAAAATGAAAAGATATCATGAAAAAACAAATGAGCACGACAGAAAATGTTGCAATGGGGAGATGCGTTTGGAGCGAGGTCACAGTGAGGTTGTATGATGATAACACACACACACACACACACACACACACACACACACACACACACACACACACACACTGGCTTTCAGCAGCCTGCTGTGTGCCAAGGTTATGAAATAATTTGCCTGCTCGATCCTTTCAACACAATTCTTGTTTGCTTCTTTGCCTCCATTCAAGCCGAGACACGACTCGGAAGAGATAAAAATAGACCCTCGCTGACCTCTCCCCCCTCCCACCACCAGCTCCCTCCCTCACTCCCATCCTCACTCTCACTCCCCCCCTCTGTCTTTAGTCTGATATTGTTGCAGCTGTCCTGCTCCGGTCGGGGCGTCCTGGGTTGAGGCTTCGAGGATTTTTACTCTCTCCCCCCGCGGTGGGAAATGTGGCTTTCATCAACACAATACATGCTCACAATGAACTGAACACACATAAACATGAGATCAAATGAAACAATAGACAGAGCGATCCAGTGATTCACCTCTGACATGCAGTGTGAGAGTTTGTTTAGTGCAGTTTTGTTGCAGAATAAACACGAACGTCAAACTGTTTGAGCGGCTCGAGTTACAGGTCGCCACAGTGTTTGGATGGAGGATAATTCAGAGGTAAACGCAACCATCAGCGGTTTATTGACGAGCTGTGAGGGTCCTCTGTCGAGCTGATATCACCAGCAGCATGAACCTGGTTTGTTTTTGCAGGCCCCCACGCACAGGCAGCGACGTAAATGGAAATACATGTTTGCATGCGGACGGGACGAGGAAATGCACGCACAGCAAACAGGTGGCAAACAGCTGGGACAGTAACTTTAAACTGGCTGCGAGTGTTGAAAATATGAACTCATGAAAAGCAGCGGATTGTTGCGGATTAAGAACAAGCGCCTGCTGTCAATTAAGGTTGGAGCAAAGTTGACAACAACTGTATAAAACTACAGCTGTAGGTGCTGTTTATAGGGAGTTTTCTAACCGGCTCACAACCTCCTTAAAGCTCCTCCAGTGTAAAGGTCTGTGTCCATGTGTAGTGTGATTATAGATCAGCTCTAGCTTCTATATTAATACTGTGAAAGTATCAAAGCCTCAGTCCACAGAGAAATGCACACAGCCTGTATTCAGAAACTGAGCCTTAAAACCAGCCGTCAGGACTTCTGGAACTTTGTGATGTCACAACAAAGCAGTCACTGCCCTCAGCCACGCCCATATTTCCCCATCTTTTCTTCTTCTTCTGTGTTTTATTTGAAGTGTTGATCCATCAGAAGATATAAAAAACATCTCAGTGTAGTTTTACATCTCCTCTCTCAGGCTTCTCTCTGCAGCTCTAGTAACAACAGGTCAGTGAGCCAATCAGAAGAGAGGAGGCTCTGAGCCTCTCTTCTGATTGGCTGACTGTTTTCTGAGTGATCCAATAAAAATATAGCAGATTTCAGGTAAAAACACTCAGAGAAACCAAATCCTGCAAGGTTTGGATGGTGGGTCCAGGTGGGCGGGGCTTGGTGACTGCTTTGTTGTGACATCACAAAGTTCCAGAAGTCCTGACGGCTGGTTTTAAGGCTCAGTTCCTGAATACAGGCTGTGTGCATTTCTCTGTGGACTGAGGCTTTGATACTTTCACAGTATTAATATAGAAGCTAGAGCTGATCTATAATCACACTACACATGGACACAGACCTTTACACTGGAGGAGCTTTAAGTTGGATGTAAACATGAGCAGGTTAAGTGTCAGTGTGAGACAGAACATTAGAAATAAAGTGTGTGTGGCACTGCAAGGATCAAAAGAGACAAAATTTGATCGTGTCCATAAATCCTGTTTTGTAATAAACGACAGAAACAGAACGTCTTCATAAATACAGATGGTTCATAAAGGACACGAAGAGTCACTGAGTGATCTGATGATTATGAAAACGATGTGAGTCATGATCTTCACACTCATCAAATCATCAAACCTAATTAAACACCTATGAGGGAATTGGGAGAAACGTGTTAGACAGCGCCGTCTACCACCGCCATCACTATCACCTCCATCATCATCACCATCATCATCATCATCATCATCATCATCAAAACACCCAGTGATCAGATGTGTTGTAGGAGAAGAGAGGTGTGTCCCTCCAGCAGAGTTAATGACGGGGAGAAAGGTTTCTGATCTGGAGCCTTGAACCTGTTAATTCAGGTGTGACAGAGGTGACGACTCGTCCTCTTCCCTGTTCGTCTCCAGGTGCATGTTCTTTAGAAGAGACTGTGGTTGTTTGCTTCATATTTATCGCCACATTATCTGCCGTCACAGTTTGATTTGAAGACAGTATGAGGAAGGAAGATTTACTTTTCACTTCCCAGACATCAGATCACTGAAGACGTATTAAACATATTATTATTATTGCAGATGAACCCGTCAGTTATTATAAACTGTAAAATTACACAGGGAAGAACCAGGACTTTTATACTAAGAACATTTTGCTGGTTACTTTTTCTAAAGTATGTGTGCAGAACTTTTACTGGTAATGATTGTTTTGTGACGAGCCTACAGAGAATCATCTGCAGCTCCGCTCGGCTCCGCAGAGATTTATAATGAGTTTCAGCTCGTTGAGAAAATCAATCTAGCAGCTAAAGAGTCAGATGTTTCTGTCAGAGGTGGTGGAGACCAAAAACAGAGCTGAGATGGGAGGGAATACTGGATTCGTAAAGCTGTACGTCAGTGTCATATCGATACACGGTGTGTAAATGGTAGAGACTTTTCCTCTGCTTTAGCTTGGTCTGGTCCCTCAGCTCTTTTATTATGAAACAGATCATATAACCTGCATCCATATACAGTAACAACTTATTGTAATCATACACACACACACAGACATGTTACAGTAAACTGCAACCCAGCAGTTGGCCAATCAAACATGATGCAAATGATCAACTTCCGTTTTCTGTGGTAAAGATAAGGGAGTTTTCTTAAAGAGATTCCTCCAGTGTAAAGCTCAGACTGTGAGGAGTGCCTCCATGTTTCTGGATCTCAAACCTGTCAGAGTTTTACTGGAGGAGCTGAAACCAAACTGTTCAGGTCAGGACTATTTTGTTTTAAAGTAATTCCTACTGAAGGTGATGAAAAATTCAGATTTTCAGTCTATTTTAAATGAATCTTTACTTTAAAGAAATGATCCATTCTTTCACAATAAAGTGCAACGTGATCATAAGTTCATATGATGAGAAATGAAACTTCCAGCTTGGTCTTGTGA